CATAGTTATTCGATCCCTACCCTGTCCATTCAATTTTTCATTAAATCGAGTGACTTCGTTGTTGTTTTTTTACAACAGTTGAAAACACCCAGAGTTCTTTTGGGGCAAATTTGGGGGATATATGTCAGACTATTCATAAACTGGCAGGACATGGTAACAAGGTCAGCCAATGTATAGGCATGGCAACTGGGTCAGCCAATGGAAACTATTTGGTGACTGAGAGCTATGCCAGATGGCTCAGAGCCTGGGCGTGGCTTACCAATGTAGCTCTGAGTCTGTGCAAGAGAACGAATGTATTAAGCTCTGAACTCTGAACTGAAACCATTCTCTCCTCTTCCAGTGAACCAGCTGTTGGTATTGTATGTTTACCTATGCATTGTATTATATATAAAGAGAAGTTAATGAATCCTGCTGAATCAAGTTACCTGTGTGTGCTTTCCGGATTTGATTTTTGCAACCAACTCTGGCAATATACAATATGCGTTTGCAAACTGCAGTTTCTCCACACCGCTTAGTGGAGAAGGAAGTATAGCTTGTAAGGAAGAGGGCTAATTCGTATGTGCTTTTTCCCACAGATAAGTAACACTTTCCTTGTTAAGAAGATACTGGCCAACTCCCTTTTATTTACAACTGAACAACAGGGCCGAGTCTTCCCAAACTTTCCCATGAATAATATTCTTTAACACAACTTCTTTGCAACTATCATTTGGACCACGAGCGATAAGAAAAGGAACATACAATTGGGGAACAAAGGCCATTTTGTATGCAGGATATTAAATGCCTTGGGGGGTGGGTGGGAGCGTGGAATCAGCTACAGAAGATCACTGAACTGTCCAGATTAAAAAAGAAATACTGATTTATTTAACTACCTTAATGAATCATCCTTGACTGCAGGGCTTGGATGGATAAGCAGTTTGAAAGACAGTTAACCTTTGTACTGTACTGAATGTTTTTGCAAATGGGGCGGAGTAAGCACAGTGCGGTCTGGCTATACAGAAACACCCACATGTTAGAACAGTGTTTCTCAGCTATGCTGGCTGGGGGATTCTGGGAGTTGAAGTCCACAGGACTTAAAGTCACCAAGGTTGAGAAACACTGTGTTAGAATGTGCAGAAATGAATAGATTAACACTCGCTATCAAAGAGAAAGAACAAACTGATTATTATACAAATTGGGAATCATTTTACCGATGGTCAGAGAATAGACATAAGAATTAATAGTGAAAGAAGTTAAGTAAAATATAGAAAATGTATTTATTTATTTAGTTTGTCACTCATGTACAAGGTAACAGGAAAGTTTAGACGTGAATAAGGACACAGGAAATGGGTACAAATAAATGGGGACAGTAGATAAAATTCAACTGTTGATTGTTTTTAGTCCCTACTAAGTCTTTATCATCGTTCTGAGAATTAGCTATTCTCCCCCTAAAAAAAGGAGGACTTATATAGAAACATCACTGAAACTCAGCAGTTATCAATTCCAGCAATGCATCATACGACACATGTGGTCAGATTCTGATAAGTTTCTCTTCGAAGAAAATCTGCCTTTTCAAAAACACTCTCCCTCAAAACCTTTACACAAATTTAAAAGCAAGTAAAATACTGTTGAATTGTTTACCAAAAAAACCCCAGCCATTTCAGCTCAGTTCCTATCTGAGCAGATACTACATCTCCTGAAACAGATTGGTTCTTCAAGGACTTTCCACCTCACCAAAAAAGAACATTTTGTTTCCTATGCTGAAAAAATCAGAAGTTGGCGCATTCAAAGGAAAATGGAAGTTCTGGGTAAGATGTGGAGTCCTTGGTGCTCTCTGAGCTTGGTTGTTTTCTTGCAGGCATTACGTTGCCAAATAGGATCAGGGGTAGTAGGGAGTGGGGTTTTCTCTCGTTTTGTATTCTAGTGGCCCCTGCCTACTAGCCCTGATGATGTTACTTACCTTGGCAATGAAACGTCTGCAAGAAAACAGTCAAGCTCAGAGACCCCTCATTTCACTACAGAGAGTGATCAATTTGGCACAAGAAACCATTAAAGGTAAAGATTCCCCTCACACACATATGCCAATTGTTCCTGACTCTAGGGGGCGGTGCTCATCTCCGTTTCAAAGCCGAAGAGCCAGCGCTGTCCGAAGACGTCTCCGTGGTCATGTGGCCAGCATGACTCAGCACCAAAGGCACACGGAACACTGTTGTCTTCCCACCAAAGGTGGTTCCTATTTTTTCTACTTGCATTTTT